GTAACTATATATAAGGAAAGTTTAATCAGTTACTGCTCTTGAGTAGCTAATATATTCAGGATCCCTTGTAGACACTCTAAGCATAAAAATAGTTTCTATGGCCCAGGAAATGATATTTTGCTAAGGAGACAAGGAATATATCTATGGTGGAGGCAACATCATGAAAAAAAAAAAACAGAGATAGAAAAGCTTAGAATATTTTTGAAAGTTATAGTGTTGGTCGAGTTAGTAACTTTTTTCTAAAAGTTTTATTTTGCAAGCATATTTTCAAATTTAAATTTGTGTAATTTTACACCTGTCAGAATGGCTATCATCAACAAATCAACAAACGCCAAGTCCTGGCTAGGATGTGGAGAAAAAGGAACCCTCGTGCGCTACTGGTGGGAATGCAGACTGGTGCAGCCACTGTGGAGAAGAGTATGGAGTTTCTTTAAAAAATTAAAAATGGAACTCCCATTTGACCCAGTAATCCCACTTCTAGCAATATATCTCAAGAAACTAGAACCACCAATCAGAAAGAATATATGCACCCCTATGTTCATAGCAGCATAATTTCCAATAGCTAAGATTTGGAAACAGCCTAAGTGCCCATCAGCAGATGAGTGGATTAAAAAACTGTGGTACATCTACACAATGGAATATACGCTACTATAAAAAAGGAGGAACTTTTACCATTTTCAACAGCATGGATGGAACTGGAGAGCAGTATGCTAAGTGAAATAGGCCAGTCAGAGAAAGATAAATATCACATGATCTCACTCATATGTAGGATATAATGATCAACATAAACTGATGAACAAAAATAGATCCAGAGACAAATGGCAGGGGAGGGGAGGTGGTTAGAGAGCAACCAAAGGACTTGTATGCATGCGTATTAGCATAACCAATGGACACAGACACTGAGTTGGTGGGGGCTTGCCCTCGGGGGTGTGAGGGGCCAGGGTTGGGGGGTCAATCTGGGAAAAAGGAGACATATGTAAAACTTTAGACAATAAAAAATTGTGTAATTTTATCATAGAAAACGTTGACTTATGCACATGATCCTTCACAATAAAATATTAAGACATCAACATGTTCTTATATTAATATAAATTATATTTTTTTCTTTCTAATGCATACTATATAAGATAAGTGCACATGTTATAGTTTGTATTTAAAAATATAAATGCATTCCCACCTGTACTTGTAATCTCTTTATGTAAAGATAAGTAAAACCTTTCTTTTTGCTTCCATTGAAGGAACAAATCATCAACCCTTAACAGTGGAAATGACTAGTTATAAATTGGTGTAACAGGAATATTAAATGGGAATTCCTTTTCTTCCTTGTTGCTTAATTATTCTTCCCTCCTGTTTGGCCAATCTTATATAATAAAAGGGTAATATGCAAATAGATCGAACGGCAGAACAACTGAACAACAAATCAAAGTGTAACATGCTAATGAGATGCTAAGGCTGCTTAACTGCTCGCTAAGACATGCACTAACCACTAGGGGGCAGTTGCTCTGACTGGTAGGTTAGCTTGCTGCTGGGGTCCGGCCAATCGGGACTGAGCGAGATTGGCCGGACATGCCCTGGAGCCCTTCCGCAGTCCTCCCTGGCCTGATCGTGCTCCAGTGGGGTCCCTCAGCCTGGCCTGCACCCTCTTGCAATCCGGGACCCCTTGGGGGATGTTGGAGAGCCAGTTTCAGCCTGATCCCACAGGCCACTTCCCTTGGGAGGGTGCCAGAAGCAGGACTCATGACTGGCAAGCGCTGCTGTGGTAGCGCAAGCCTCTCCCTATCAGGACTGATTGGGCGCGAGCCAGTGGCAGGCACAGTGGTGCCAGGATGAGCGGGAGTGGCAGGTAGGAGCTGCACGCAGCATTGGACTGCAGGCTTTGGCTCGATCACTGCAGGCCACCCAGAGGGACCCCACCCGTGCACAAATTCGTGCACCGGGCCTCTAGTGTGAAATATAAATATACATAACATACCGGTTATTTTTCAGAATACTTGTGTTTAATACAAAATGCTATATATACTCTTTTGGTACAAAGAAAAATGAAAATGATATTTTTATAGTTGATGAAAGAAGTAGATAGATAGTTGAATTTGAAGTCTGTGAAGTAAGATGGACTGCTTCTTCTGTGTACTTCCTTGCTGTTTACTGAAAAGTGAACTGCTTCTTTTGTGTGTTTCCTTGCATTATATCTTAATTTAACACAGAATTGGCTAATTTGCTATAATTTCTACAAGTTTCAGCTTTTATTAAGCCAGATTTAATGTTTAAGGCAATTTTAAGTGTTTTGTCAGGTAATAGTAAAATGCTTCCATTAAAAATATATTACCAATACTCAGTAGATGTCAGTAACTTCACCCTCCATAAAAAGTCTTTTGGAAGAACCATTTAGAAGTGATGACAAGCTAATGGGTCTCTATATAAATATAGATAACTTCTTTGTGAATTGATATTTAGATTATTTGGTTCAAAATGAACTCATTATTTTACATTTATATCACAGTTTATACAAACTATTAAATAAATTTGTGTATCTGAATTTGATAGTATTACATTTCAATGTAATGATTAATCTAGACCAGTGATGGTGAACCTATGACACCTCTGACATGCGAACTCATTTTTTTGGTTGATTTTTCTTTGTTAAATGGCACTTAAATATATAAAATAAATATCAAAAATATAAATCTTTGTTTTACTATGGTTGCAAATATCAAAATTTTCTATATGTGACATGGCATCAGAGTTAAGTTAGGGTTTTTCAAAATGCTGACACGCCGGGCTCAAAAGGTTCGCCATCACTGATCTAGACTGATAATAATTATTGCAAATTAAAATGAGTTTTCATGAATGTGGCTTAAAATTAACAAGATAAATCTAATATTTATTGCCTAAATATTTTCATAAAATCTTAGTTTCTAAAATAGATTTCTATATGACTTAGAAATGACAGGATAGGTAAAAATTAATGTCTGTTATCTACATTTGATTATATCAAAATGTTAATATTCTGGCTAATAGCTGCATAATATAATTAGGGAGCACTTCATGTATTCGTTTTTAAAAATTCTTCCTTCTTTCTCATGCTCTTAGCTATGGTCAGATATTCAAATTAGATAAGAAATGGAAAGGGTTAGAGAGGCTGGTCAGTATAGTTCGTACCAAGTTCATATATATTGTCATGGCCTTCTATAGCAAAAATTAATCATCTCCTTATCAAGGTGAGGCCACTTTGGGTAGAGAGATGAAAATTAACCAGCCAGACTAGTCAGAAGTGGACATATTTTCACCCTTGCTTTATCAGGTCTTGACTCTGATGATAGTATATGTTTAATATTGTGATGAATTTCACTGGAAAACTTGGGGCTCCAGTCACGGAGGTATAAAGTCAACACAACTGGTAGATGTGTGTCTTCTTTATCTGTGTATACATATATAGTCTGTATATATTTCTTCCTATATATGTGTAAACTTATATATGAAAATACATTTTATATATTCACAATTTCACTTTTATATATACACACTATGAAGGAATAGTCAAGAGACATATAATGTGTATATGGATATATATGTAGATATGAATATATAGTCACTCTTTGTCATGTTATCTACCCTGAGGTGTGTGACTGTTTTTGTCAGCAGGGTTTATTCAAAAGACAAAAGGTACATTGGCCAAAATGCTTATAATAAAAAAAGTAAACTCTGAAAAGGTGTGCCTGCCTAGAAAACTCACTCTGAATACAAATACTAGTAAAGCATGCATGACACGATGTGAAAGAATTTCCCACATTTCTAAGTCAGGATCCTCATAAACTGTTTTTATTCCTTATGGGTATAAGTTTGGAAGGCAGGATCCTGCAGTGATTTAGAGTAAGGACATTGCAATCAAATAGGTAAGGACTCTGGCTCTTACTATGGGATTTTCAGTATATTTTTTGTTCTGAATCTTAATTGTTATAACTCGATGTATATTGCAGTAGCGTGCATATACATATTTCATAATTATTTTAAGGATTAAAATGGGATACTGTAATATGGAAAAGTTAATAGAAAATGATAAACATGTTTAGAACACAGTATTTAAAAATAAGAAAACATTAGCATTTAATGAAAACTTTTTAGTTACCACAACTTACTTACATTTTGAATGGATAATCTCCTTTAAAACACTTAATAATCCTACAGATAAGTATTATTATTATTATTATTGTTAATATGGGGATTGGAATTTAAAATCTCTTGGTCACTAACTTCTACTTAATGAATCACATTCACAATTTGAAATCAGTTTACTCTTAAAACTAGTGTATTTAACCAATATGGTGCTGAAAAACACTCAATAAATGTTAGCCACATTCTTGTCATCATCATTATATATGAATGAAAGAATGCCATGATTATCTACTAAGACTTACTGTTAGTTTTTCAGGAAATATTTCTCAGTTATCTCTCCTAAGAGATTCGTCTGTCTTTAATTTTGTACATATATATTGAATTTAATACTATTAAAAAAACTGAAATCCTTGTTTTTAGAAATGAAAGGTAGAAAAGAAAAATGAAAATAAATTAAAATTAGAAGTTTGATTTCTATCTACTTTATGAATGGGCTCTCAGAAAGTTTCCTGATTTTAGCTCCTATTATTCAGAAAAAATAAAATAAAACATTTCGAAGCTATGAATTCATAAAGATCTCATGATATAAGACATTCAATGTTTTAACCTCTTGGTCCTTTTCAAAGCTTTTTGTACTTATTAAATTCTTACCAATGCTCTCCATGTAATAACACTTTGATGTACTATTCATCATTTCCATTTGAAGGAAGTAAGTAAATTCCTGCTTAACTATCACATTGCTTTCAGTACAATATGTTTCAGTAATAAACTGCATGTTTTAAGTGAAAATATACATTTTCAAATACATGAATTGCTTTGAATTATTTCCAGTGGACATCACAGAATATTTATGTTATTGTTTAATGGCAACACTCACTTCTTTCTAGGAGCAATTTTTGATGAATCTGCCAAAAAGGATGATGAGGTGTTTCGCACAGCAGTTGGCGACCTCAACCAGAATGAGGAGATCTTACAGACTGAAAAAATCACATTTTCGGTGACATTTGTTGATGGCAACAACCCATTTCAAGCGGTTCAGGAAGGTAAGGATCATCGGCAGTCCAATTTTTATAATTCTTGTTTTTTTGGTTCAATTTGAGTGACATTAAAGTTAGTTTATGTAAAAAGTCCTTGAACTAGGATATCGTTTTGTTTTGTTTTTTATCTTTGCTGCATTGATTTTCTTAGAGAGTATTGTTTTGCAGATATTAATCCCGTATTCCACTTCTGAAAGGGCAGAGTGTGCAAAATTAGTGCTTTCATTGAAATGTAATATGAAAGGAACGTAAATATTTACCATAAAAGCTTTATTTTATTATTTCAGTGTAAATGAAGCATTCCAAAAAATAGCATTTTTATATTTTAATTTTTACTTTTGACTGAAAAAATTGCCACATTGAAAGTTGTTAAAGTTGTGATGACATTTCAGATATATTCATCACAAGTGTATTGGTGGGAGGGAAACTTTTAGACACTACCATACATTTCAAAGATTTTGTGCTGGGAATCTAATATACCGACATAGGCTATATATTTTTTATTCTTTACAATATACCAAACATTAAAGCACTTTCTTCCATTCTTTCTGTATACTTGAGTGAATTAAAATTTTTCATGAGTACAAAGTCATACAAGTGCAAAATATTTTCATTATGCTGAAATAATAATTTGTAGGAATGAAGGTTTTGATTGAAAGATCTTAGACTAAAAGAATTCTATTATTGATGCTATTATGCTAACAAAATATTTGACCTTTTGATTGGAAAAGCACTTGTTCATGAAACTGTTGCTAGTCTATTTTATATTTTATAATGATAATATATCTAGACTAAAAATACTAACACAAAATTAATTTAGACAAATGAAGCATTCACTTCATTAAAAGATTAAAGGGTTTGGCAGCAGCAAAGATAGAGGAGATGGCTTATGTAGTAAAGTTTGGCAAGAAACTTTTTAAAGACAAATACTGAAGGGAAAAGAAAAAGTATATAAACTTGTGTTTTTTTTAAGTGATCTTTTCATGAATGCTGTATCTGTATGTTGTACAAGTAAACTTTATTGGAATATGTTTGGATCAGTAGCATTGGTGACTGTTTAAACTTATTTATGCTTACTTTTGTCAGTAAGAGAATGGATAGAATGATTAGTGTCCTAATGGATTTTCCTTCTTATTAATTTGATGGAGTGAAAAAGTATTATTTTAATGAAATGAATATAAGAGAATTAATGAAAAGCTATTTCCACAAATAATAATTTGTTTATAATACGATGGGATTTTAATTTTTAATAAGTAAACATAAATTTTAAAAGTCAGATTCATATAAACAGCCATTTATTTACATTTAAATGATCATTTTCCTGGGAATTTGGGGTCTTAAATATTGACTGTGTTAATAAATTTTCTATGGAAACATTTAATAGCTATTTAAATTAATATTAGAATACATGAAGCAATCTCCAAAATAATAAAATTGAATTTGAGGAAAATATCCAATAATATATGAAATAATATATACACTAGGAAGAATGTTATTCACTGTAAAGAAACATTTATGATATTTCTTTCTCAGCTCTTAGTTTTAATGACTGAAATGAGAGGAGCAAAAAATGAGAAATGATTTATTTTTGGGACAATCTTCTGAATAACTATTTATTAATTTTTGTAAATTAACTTTAAAGACATGCTAAAATATCCATGGCTTTCAAAAATCCACTTTGACTGAAAGTGTGTAGAAATAAAGAAATAAAGACAATATCATAGGTAGAAGGTAATTACAAAGTGTGAATAAGTATGTCCTGCACACCTGTTTTATAGACTACAATTTGAAAGTCAAAGACAATGCTTAAAGATGCCACTATATGTTTATATTGCGTTGTATAACTATTGTGTTGCCACATGAATTCTGCAAACATATATTTCTCTCAAAAGATCTATTATGAATTGAAAGAATTTGTGAAACTGAAAGCAAATAAAGAGAGGAAATAAGGTTTAAGTTTCTGAGATAGCTATTTGACTAGATATTTGTCAAGAAAGAAGAAAGAGCTTGCCACTTTGCCTGAAGGTTTCTGGTACTAAGAGGATGTCCTGGGCCAGTTATTTTGATGGTCTGCTATAGGCAATGAAGCTCTGGAGATAATTTGTTTCCCCATTCAATATCAAGAAAGACCTCCGCTAATTTTTAGAAGTAAAGATAATTTTCCCAGGGGCTCTATTTGTAAGTGATTTCTTTGAAAAAACAAAGAGGAAATATTCAACTGAAAGAGAACATGAAATGATTAAGGAATATTTTCTTAAATATTTAGAGGAAGTAATTTAGGAGGAAATCTCAATCATACAATCAAAGATTGAAAATTTTCTATGAGCACACCTTTGCTGTAATACCTAAAAATCTATGCAGTGGTTCTCAACCTTCTGACCCTTTAAATACAGTTCCTCATGTTGTGACCCAACCATAAAATTATTTTCGTTGCTACTTCATAACTGTAATGTTGCTACTGTTATGAATCATGATGTAAATATCTGATATGCAGGATGGTCTTAGGTGACCCATGTGAAAGGGTCATTCAACCGCCAAAGGGGTTTCGACCCACATGTTGAGAACTGCTGGATAGAGGGTCTTACATCAGCTTGTTTATTTTTCACATTCTAAAGGAGGACAAAATGTTCAGTGATATAATTGTTACTGATTGTTTACACATTAGCACTCTTGATGAACTTCTAAAGACTTAACGGTTTTGAGTTCTTTCTCCCTCAAGCTTTCTTTATTTTTGTTTATTTGATTTTGAAATCTGATCCTGAACAAATAGAATCGCCAGCACATAGATATTTGGTGGTGATAACAAATGATAAAAAGACTGGTCATCGGATAGAAAAATGAAATTTTAAAATCTGAAATGCTCTATTTACTTTATTGTTAGAACTTCCTTTCATTGGACACATTTGTGAAATGGTTCTTTTCAGACATTTGAATTTTTGTTTACCTTGTCTTTCTACTATCAACACTTAATAAGATAGAGGCATTTAAAGCTAAATAAGCCTCCTTAACCCATATATTGCAATAAAGAGTAATGTTACTATTTAAATATTATTGTGTGACTTTGATTGCAGTAAATTTGTGCATAGTAAATATTGAGTTAAATAATTACAAAATAATTATTTTTGAGGTGAGTCTTTAGAAGATGTTGTCTTGCTTATAACACAGAATCAATATTGCATTTTTCTGGAGATCAATGACTGTAATTTATCATTTTTATCATTGTTCTGTAACATTAATCTTGGTAGTTTTAGATAGTAGTGAACAGTAGAAAATAATTTGTTTTCACAAAAATAATCTTGAAATAAACCACCTATTTTCATAATTATTTTTCTTTTATTTTGAACATATTTGATGTTTACCCATTTTATACTTTCTATTGAATTGTGGGAAGTTAACTAAGAGCAAATAATTTTTATACTTTATCCCAGGAGATCATATATATATATATACACACACACACATATATATATATGTATTTATATGCTATTTTATAGATGGGACAAAGCTTTCTCTCTTAAGACAATGTATAAAAGAAAATAAATCATATGGAATATTTTTGAAAACCTAGAGAATTATTGAAGTGGAAAATTATATATTCCTAGTTGAATGTTTTTGATATGTAGATGAAGTTGAGAGCAGAGTGGTTAAATTATTTTCCTACACACTGCAAGTGTAGATCAGATAAAGAACTAAACCAAGAACTTCATAGTACTATACTAATGTTTTACTTGCTCTATCTGCTACATATGTGTATATCTATATCTATATCTATGTCTATGTCTCTCTCTCTCTCTAAGCCCTGGAATGTTACTCAAATAGAGAGAGAGAGAGACAGCTCAGAGTGTTTTCTAAGACTTCATTAAATACTGTGGGGGATGAAAAACATTAGATTTATAGTCTTTGACATTATTTATGTTCATAAGTTTTAGATCTTATGGAGTTGTTAAAAATTCTAATCTAAATTGATCAATTATATAAATCACTCATGTCCTTTCATCCTTGGTTTTCCTTATAAATAAATAAGAAATCAGAACATAAATTATGTATTTTAAGGTCAGTTTTATTTCTATGGATGAGTTGTTTCATGATTCTTTAAACACACTTCCAGATTTAAAACTTTATAGGATTATAGAAATGATCACTGTGTCATTTCTCTTTAGAAAATGATTCACAATTGCTGAAATTGCCTCCTATTTTGGGGGGGGCTGACTTCAAAATAATTAAAAGTATTTTATTGTCTGTCTCTTGCTTTGCTACCTCATTCAACTATTCATTGCAACCCCCAAAATTCATTACTATCACTGTAATCCAGCAAGGACCTTTTGCTCATTGCATTGGCTTGGACCAAAGCACCTGCTGCTGAAAATATTTCCTTACTCTTCTCTTGTAGACTGTTTCCTCTGTGACGCTTATGTACTGGGTGTAACATAGGTGCACAAATGTCTGGTGTGAGAGAGACTTCCTCTTCTGAAAGCAATAACAGTTGTTTATATTGCTAGCTCCTCGCTGAGACTAACAACAGTATGGGCTTTGAAAGGTGGGGGTTTACTGAAAACAAGGTCAGGGTAGGTAAGGGGAGTGCATTTGTAGAAAGGTTCACTGAGAGGGCTGAGTGCAGAAAAGGAGTCATGTAGAGTTGTTGCATGCATCAGATGTATCAGGAAGGATGTTACGCACCGTGTGTTGCTATTGGATAGCCAGACTCATTTGAAACATTTTGAAATATTTGCTCTTATAAAAACAACTAAAAATGAAACACATAGTAAGAGGAGTGTAAAGGCAAAATTGTTCTGTAGAGTCACAAATAATTCTATTTGAAAAAAGCAAGAGTAACTGTCATAATTATTATTATTTCTGTTAGGTCGCAAAACATTATAAACACTATAGTTATAAAGGCTGTTTTAAATATAGAAAGGAGGTATGGTTAATATTGCTTGTCTTCCAAGTTTCAGCCTGGTTCACCTTCAACTAACTCCTTTGCATTCCACAGCACGAATATTGATTGC